ACAGCGCCGAGTTCGGGCTCAGGCGGTTATTTTGGGGTGTGTATATTGGGGCGGGGGGGCACGCAGGTAACCCGACCGGGGCCACGCGCTGCCCTGCTGACATTTGGAAGCCCTCCCCACCCCCCACCCCACGGCCCACACCCAATGAGGTCAGGGACCCCCCAGACCCCCCCGCAGTGCCATAGGGCCGGGAGGCACGGCACAGCCCACTGCCCTCCCCGTGGCAGCGTGACATCGGGGCGTGGGGACCCCACATAGGGTCGTGCCCCCTTCCTCCCCCCCCCCCAGCTCTGTGGCTATTTTGGGGCCGGCATTGCCTGCCTGCCAGCTCTGACGGCTGTGACGAGCGGTGCCACACGGCCACGGCCCCCCCCCCAGCTGCGGTTCGAGCTCAAACGTCGGCAAATGGCCTTGGCCGGGCCTCTGCACCGCCCCATCCCACTGCGGGACACCCCCGAACCCCCCCACAGCCGGAACCACACTCTGCAGGGTTCGTGTCCCCATTAAGGTCCAGCAGGGCGATGCTGGGGAGTCATGGGGGGGGGGGAAGGAGGTGCAGTGTGTCCAATGGGGCTGAGCACCCGGGGGTGGAGTGGGGGGGGCACTGTTGGGGCTCAGAATCCCTGGGAATCCTCCTGCATCATCCCTGCATCCCTCCCTCCTGCATCCCTTCCTCTGCCTCTGCCTGCACCCCTGCCTGCATCCTCCTGCATCCCGCTGCTTCCCTCCTGCAGCCCTGCCTGCATCCCTCCCGCATCCCTGTGTCCTGCATCCTCCTTTATCTCTCCTCCATCCCTGCCACCATCCCCGCCTGTATCCGTCTTTCATCCTCCTGTATCCTCCCCCCCCCCCCCCCCCCCCCCCCCCCCCCCCCCCCCCCCCCCCCCCCCCCCCCTGTACCCTTCTTCATCCCCCCTTTTCCCCCCCCCCCCCCCCCCCGCCTTTGTCTCCTCTCCATGTCCCCGCTTCCCCCCTCCCCCCCCCCAAACCTGGCAGCGTGCGGGCGGAAGCGGCGCCCGAACAGCCTCAGGCGGCGTGACGTCATCCCTCCGCCTCGAACCAATCAGAAATAGAGATGGGGCATAAAGCCCGCCTCTTTCCCTCAGACAACCAATCGGAGCGCGGAGGTGGGCGGGGCGAGGAGGGGGTGGGCGTGGCGTGGCGCGGGCATGGCGCTGCGGAGGGCGCTGAGCGCGGCGGGACGGAGGTGGGGGCAGCTTGGGGTGGGGGGGCACCTTGGGGGGGCATCTCCTCGGGGGGCTTTTCTTCGGGGGGGGGTTCGCTCCGATGTGCGGGGTATCGGGGTGCAGGGGGCGTGGGGAGGAGGGGCAGCCCTGGGAATGGGTGTTGTATGGGGAGGGGGTTCACAGAGTGCACTGTGGGGGGGGCACGGTCCTGGGTATGGGATGGAGGGGGGGGTTCCTGGGGTGGGGGGTGTGCGCTGGGCTCGGGGTGCGCGGGGAGCGTTGTTGGTTGAATGGGGTCGGGGGTCGTTGCATCTCCGTGCTTCTTTTTGGGGAGCGTCCCCACGTGGACCCCCCCCAACTCCCCCCAGGTGTGCGCGGCGCCTGTGCTCGGTGGTACCGGGAGACACCATCTTCGCCGTCTCCTCCGGCCATGGGCGCTGCGGGGTGGCCGTCATCCGTACCAGCGGGCCGGGCAGCGGGGGGGCCATACGCAGCCTCACCGGGAGTCCCGAGCTGCCCCCCCCCCGCGTTATGGCTCTGCGGCGCATCCGGGACCCCCACACTGCAGAGCTGCTGGACCGCGGCCTCGTGGTCTGGTTCCCAGGTGGGGGCTGGGGGGGGAGGAAGGGGGTATGGGAGGAGAGAGGGGCTATGGGGGGGGCTATGCCCCTTCTGAGGGTCTCAGTGGGGGGGGTGCCATGGAGGGCTCAGTGTTATGTGGGTCTGGGTATGCAGTGGGGTCTACTTGGACCCTGGAAGGGGCTGTTGGGTACCAGAGGGGGGTGTCTGGGTGCCCATCGGGTGGATCGGGGGTCTGATGTGGGTTTTGGGTGCCAACAGGGGTGGATCTCTGTGCCCAGTGGGGTCTGGTGGGGGGTCAGGGGGATTGGTGCAAGTTCTAGGTGCCAGGTGGGGGTCTGGCCATCATCCCAGCTGGCTGCAGCCCCTCTTGGCTCCCCTGGCACCGCGATGCCTGCTGCGCACAGACAGCTCCAGCATCAAACGCTGCCCCATTGCACTGACCCCATGTAGCCGTGGGCTTGGGGTCTCTCTTCCCCCCCCCCCACCTCCATGCTCCTGTGGGATTGAAGGCGCTCCCCGTGCTCTGCAGGACCCCAAAGCTTCACAGGGGAGGACTGCATGGAGCTGCACGTGCACGGCGGGCCGGCGGTGGTGAGCGGAGTGCTGCGGGCGCTGGGTGAGCCCTTCCCCCCCCCCCCCCCCCCGGGGGGCCCCCCCCCCCCCCCCCCCCCCCCCCCCCACCCACCCCCCCCCCTTCACCCATCCCTCTCGGTGCTGATGGCTGCTCTCAGGCCGTCTGTCCGGGCTGCGTCCTGCCGAGCCGGGTGAGTTCACACGCCGTGCGTTTCACCGGGGGAAGCTGGACCTGACAGCAGCTGAAGGGCTGCGGGACCTCATCCATGCTGAGACCGAGGCGCAGCGGCAGCAGGCACTGAGGCAGATGGAGGGCGAGCTGGGGAGGCTGTACCAGCAGTGGGGCGAGACCCTCACCCAGGTGGGGGCTTTGGGGGGCTTTATGGGGGCTCAGGGACACGTGGGCTGTCTGTGCTGACCCCCACGCCACACCCCAGGCCCTCGCTCATATCGAAGCATACATCGACTTCAGTGAGGATGACAACGTGGAGGAAGAGGTGTTGTCCCAAGGTGCCCAGTGGGGGCGTCTGATGGGGGGTCGGAGGGATTGGTGTAAGGTCTGGGTGCCAGGTGGGGGTCTGGCCATCGCCAGCTGGCTGCAGCCCCTCTTGTGGCTCTCCTGGCACCGCGATGCCTGCTGAGCACAGACGGCTCCAGCGATGCTTCAGCATCCAACGCTGCCCCATTATGCTTACCCTATGTAGCTGCAGTGCAGCAGGGGGGGAGGGATGCCCTGACCCTGCTGTTTCCCCACCCCCACCACTGTGTTCTTGCAGTGGATGCAGCCGTGCAGACCCTGGAGCAGGAGATTGCTGCACACCTGCAGGATGGGCGCCGGGGGGAGCTGCTGTGCTCGGGGGTCCGCGCCGTCATCGCCGGACCCCCCAACGTGGGCAAGAGCAGTCTGCTCAACCTGCTGTGTGAGTGGGGCGCGGGGGGCTCCGAGAGGCTGCCCCCCATCCCGAGGCAGAGCCACGTCCCCATCTCGATGCTGTAAGGGTGGGGGTCCCTGGTGTCGTCCCCCTGAGCCCCCGTGTCCCCCCTGTCCCCAGGCCAGCGCCCGGCTGCCATCGTGTCCCCAGTGGCAGGGACCACGCGGGATGTGGTGGAGGTGTCCCTGAATGTCAGTGGTTACCCCGTGGTGCTGAGTGACACAGCGGGGCTGCGTGATGCCACTGACCCCATCGAGCAGGAGGGAGTCAGCCGTGCTCGGGACCGGTGAGCTGGGGAGGGGGGGGGGAGGGCAGGATGGGGTACTGAGGGGGGGCTGAGCAGGTGGTGATGCAGCAGGCTGTATCCCCGTGGGATGTGTGTCCATGGGCCCTGTCCCTGCAGCCTGCAGCATGCAGACCTGGTGCTGGCCGTGTTGGATGCCACCACGGTGCCTACTGAGCCAGCTGAGCTGGGGGCTGCCCTGGGCTCCCTGGTGCCCCCCACCACTCCCTGCATCCTGGTTCTCAACAAGGCTGACCTGCTGAGGGGGCACACGGGGGCTCTATGCGATGCCTGCACCCACAGACCCCCGCTGCCCCCCACCACCCTGCTGTCCTGCAAGACGGGCGAAGGCACCGACAGCCTCTTACAGCTGCTGGGGCAGCAGCTGGCAAAGCTGTGAGTGCCACAGATCCGGGGTGGGGGGCACAGGATGGCCACCGGACCCATCCATGCACAGATGGTTTTTGGTGGGGGGGGAGGGGGTGGTGGATGCTGCAGGGTGTTGTGCCCTCCCCCTCTACCCTTCCAGGTGTGGAGACCCCCTGTCTGGCTCTCCCAGCCTGACGCAGAGCCGGCACAGCACCCAGCTGGGGGGCTGCATGGCAGCGTTGGCGCTGTACAGGCAGCAGCAGGACGTGGGGATGGCAGCCGAGCAGCTGCGCCTGGCACGGCGACACCTGGGGCGCATCACCGGGCACGTGGGTGCTGAGGACATCCTCGATGTCATCTTCAGGGACTTCTGCATTGGCAAGTGATGGGGTTCTGTGGGGGTATTAAACCGTGGTGCCTTGGGCTGGTCTGCGTCCTTGCCCTGTGCCCGCAGCCCTGTGCCGGGTGCGCTGCTCTCCGTGCCTGGGGGGAGAGCATCCTGAGTCCCAGCCGTGGGAAAACCCTCTGGGAAGGGCCGTGCTTCCTGGCCAGGAGGATACACACAGAGCTGGAGTGTTGGTGATGGAAAATCCTGTACTTCATCCTTGGATATCCCCTCTCCATTGCACGGCAATGAGTGGTGGTGAGGGAGGGGTCCCAGCCCCAGGGGGTTGCGTGCCCTCTAAGGATGGGAGTCCCTTTGGCCCCTGTTGTTTTCCCACCCCCGGATGGGGCTCCCAACAGTGCCACCATGCATCAAGGCAGCCCCACCACATGGCTCATGAGTGATGGGGGGGGGACCCAAAGGGACCCAGAGGTGCTGGTGGGGGTGAGGGGCACCGCAATGGCCCGAGGAGTGCTGGATGTCACCATGTGGTGATGGTGGCATGCAGGTGTTGTGGGACTGGGGCTGCAGCGTGCCGGGTGTCAGGAAAAGCTGTTTAAACAGGAAAGGGAGGAACGCGTGGCCATAAATCACTGTATGGCCATAAATCACCGCGTGGCCATAAATCACTGCGCCTCGGCCCCTGCGTGCCAAAGGCGGGGGTGGTGGGGGCAGCGGGGGCTGCAGGGCTTTGGGGGGAGGGGGAGAGCTCTGCTTTGGCTGAGAGCTTTGTGCTCCAGGTTTGGCAGCAGGATGGGGGGAAATGGCAGCTGCCCCAGGGGGAACCGTGACCTGATTCCCACCCCCCCCCTCATCCCCCCCCATTGGTACTGGGGGAGTCCCTTACATCCTTGGCTGCTGCTCGGCTACTTCTGGGAACAGCCCCCCCCTCTTCCTGGTCTGTTTCCTCAGCCTTGCTGCCTCTGCAGCAGGACGGGATGTTCCTGCCCCCCCCCCCCCCCCCCCCACACACACCTCCCTATGGCCTTTTTCCCCCGTCTCAGCCCACCCCCCCTGGTCCAGCAGTGAGGCACACACGCGATGAGTTGTGTCAGTGCTCAGCACGGGCTGTATTCACAGCAGCTCCATGTACAAACACGTGGGTACCGAGCCGGGGGGGGGGGAGGAGGAATGGGTAGACATGGGTTGGGGGTTTGGGGAAAGGAGAGGGGGTAGAGTGGGACTCATTCCTCGTTCACTCCTGATTGGGGTTTTCCATCCGTGCTGTGGGAAGCGCCGCTCCGGGCTCGTCCTGCTGTCCTCCAGCCCCTCACCACGGCTCTCCTCGTGCTACCCGCTGTGGGAAGGGCACAGTCAGCTCTGTCTGCTCCCCATCCCTGGGGGTCTCCAGTGCCCACTCCCCTCACCTGGGGTTCCTCATCAAGGCCGTGTACTGCTCCATCACGTTCTGCACTATCTTCTGGATCTCCTCCGTGCTGATTTTATCTGGCAGGATGAGAGCAGCGGGGTTCAAGCTGGGGGGGGGGGAGAGGGGGGCACTGAGTTGGGGCAGTGCCTGTTGGGGATGGACTCACCCTGATTCCACAGCGCATCCGTGTAGGTGCTGGGGAAGGGAGGTGGCCGCACGCTGCCCACAGCACTGCCTGGCACCTGTGGGATGGTGTAATAGGTGCCCATCTACAGAGGGGAGAGGGGTGCATGTCTGTGCTGCTTCCCCTGACCCTTCCCTGCAGTGTGGGCTCAGCACTGAGCGCTGCTGGCACCAACAGGGCACGGGGACAGGGGTGGCACACGGACAGGGGTGGCACAGCGTGGATCGTGCGCCCTATGCGGCTGTGCTAAAGGCTGTGAGCAAGAGCACATCTCCAGAGATACGGGGTTAAAAAAGCGTGCAAGGAAGTGCCCGTGCCAAAGCACACGTGCCAAAGTGCCTCTGGAAAACCACGTCTTAAACTCCCCGTGCTGCTCCCCACCTTGGAGCTCATGCAGAGGTTGAACTGCTCTCTGAAGTGGTTGGCCTGCGTGGCTGCGTTGCTCTTCTCTCCCAGCTCCTTGCTGAGCCGCTCCTTCTCTGCCAGCAGCTTCTTCTGCTCCTCCTGGCTGCCCTGCAGCTGCTGCCTCACCTCCTGCAGCCTCCTGCCCAGCTCCTGCTTCTCGTGGGAGCAGTTGAGGTGGCACTGCTGCAGCGTCAAGTCGCAGACGCTCTTCCCCACGTAGTCGCTCTCGTGCTTCTGCTGCCTGGAGAAGAGCTCCTCGATGCGATGCATCAGCAGCCGCAGCTGATCCTCCACCTGGCTGCAGCCGAAGTTCTTGTTGTTCACGCTCAAGGTGCGCAGGTAGTACAGCACGTTGGAGCGCAGCGTGTCGCATTCGCCCGTCAGCTGCTCCAGCTTCGCCTTGGTGGTGCTGCAAAGCGCACCCGTGGCTTTCAGCTCCTGCTGGCAGCGTTCCTGCTCCTGCTTGGCCTTACCCAGAGCTGTTTCGGCCGTGGTGCAGCTCTGTCCCAGCTCCTTCCTCTTCTGAGTCACCGTCTCCAGCTGCTGCTGCAGCTGCGCCTTCTCGGCTGCGTGGGGTGGAGGGTTGGGGTGCGCCGTGGGACCCCCACCCATCACCCTGATCCTCCCCACGTGGCACTGCCCAGCCCGGGGTTTAAGCCGTGCATGAGCTCCCTGAGGGTTACTGGGGACCCCCGTGCACAGACTTTTGGGGCAGTGGGGGATCTGTGGGTCCTCAGGTGTTGGGAAGGGGATGCCATGCCGAGGTTGGGGTTGGGGTCCCCCCTTACCTGTGCAGCTGGAGTTGATGACGTTGATGGCCATGTAGCACTTCTCCAAGTAAGTATTTTGGAGGAAGATGATCCTGTTGATGTCCTCCCGCTGAGGGAAAAGTGGGGGGGGCATTAAGGGGATGGGGTGAGCGTGGCCCCCGCTGCCATCACCTCACAGCAGCACCAGAGCTCCTCCAGCACAGCCAAAGAGGTGAGGACCCCTGGGATTGGCTGTGTCCAAGGATTGGAGCCCCCCCCCACCCCTCACCCATCTCTTTGGGGTCCCAGGCAGAGGATCCTCACCCATTCCTTTGGGTTTCTGAGCAGGGGGTCCGCAGCCCACACCCCTCACCCATCCCTTCAGGCTCCAGGCCAGTTGTTCCCCCCCCAGCTCTCACCCTGGGGGTGCCGTTGGGGGCCTGGCTGCTGTTGCACTTCTCCAGCTGCCCCTGCACCTTCTGCAGCTGCCCCTGCAGCCCTTGGTTGGCCTTCAGCGTGGCGTTCAGGGTGCGTGTCAGGTTGGCATTCCGGCCGCTCAAGGTGATGATTTTATGGTAGTGCTCCTGCAGCTGCCCATCCAGCAGCCGGACGTGCTTATCGGTGCCGGCGTGTGCATTGCCATACACCATGAAGAGCACCAACCCCAGGATGATGAGGAACTGGATGAGGGAGGTGAAAAGGAAGACGTAGCGCATGTAGAAGGCGCAGTCCCTTTTGGGCATCACCTGTTTGCTCTCCAGCCCGAACTTGGCCATGCCGTAGCCGCTCTTCTCCATGCTGCCCGCGCTCTGCTCGCCGCACCCCAGGGCTGTCCCTTTCTACGGGGTCGGGGTGGAGCCGGCTCCCCAGCCGTGTTTATATTGCTCTATTTAATATTTCCTTTCGCTGGGCTCCTTCCTGCCTCTCCGGATGCCTCTGGGTTATCACGGTGCAGCTTCTGTTTGCTGCAGGGCCATTGTTCCCCGTTGCTATAGGACGGGGGCACAGCTCAGCTGTTCCCCCCCCCACCCCTCCCCGGTGCTGATGGGGATCGTATCTCCCCTGGGACCCCGTCCCAGCATTGCCCGGCACGCAAGGGAATGGGTTTCGTGCGGCCCTGGGGGGCAGTGGGCAACGTGGGTGCATTCGGGGGGGATTGGAGACAGACCCCCCCACACGCATCACCCAGGGCTCACGTCACCACTGGGACCTGGAGCTCTTGCTGCAGTGTTCCCATGCCTTATCCCCTGCTGGGGATATCACTGGAGGGGGGGGGGGAGCACAACAGACCCCTCTGAGCAGGGGCAGTATGGGGGGCTGAGCTGGGCCCATGATCCCCACTGAGGGGACTCAACCCCCACCAGGTTCCACTGCTGTGCCCCCAGATCTGCCTGGTGCTCATTGCCATCCCAAATCTCACCGAGTCACTCTCTTATTTCTGACGAATCTTTGATAAACCACTACTGGACATCAAAATACACATTCCCTCTTCTCTCTTCTGAGTGACATCTCAGAGCGCTGAGCCCCCGGGGGGACGCAGTGCCCACTCAGGGGGCATTCAAGACCCATTCCCCCATATTTATGCTGCCCTTCCCCAGCAGCACTGCAGCATTCCCAGCCCGGGGAGAGGTTGGGGGGGTCAGGGGCTGCGAGGTGCCAGCGCTGACCCCGCTGCTTCCTGCCCTCACACTCCCTGGAGCCCGCCGGTGTCTGCGGCGCTGGGGACGGTGTCGGTCCCCCATCCATTCTCAGCTACCACATTTCCTTCCTGAGCTGCAAATAACAGTGAGTCACCCCCCGCTCCCCCCGGCCCTATTCTGGGGGCACTGTCTGGGCTCTGCTTGGACCCCGACCTCACTTCTGATCCCAAAGCCCGCTGTGTCACCGACGGCACCGTTCACCCAATGGGACGCACCCTGCGGTCAGCCGATTCTCAGCAGCACTCTGCATCCATCGAGGTGCTCAGGCATCCCCACGGGACCCCCCCCCGCCGGCTCAGCCCCCTCCCACACACACTCTCTGCCTCTTTGTCCCATTTTCCAGACGGCGTCCCGGCTATAATTAATCCTTCCTGTGCCAAGGGCTGGGGCTGCCTCGAGGTTGGACCACAGGAACGGGTCCTGCCCATCCCGACGCACGGCTGGGTGGGGGGCACCGCTGGGTTTGGGGCTGTGAACCCCTTCCTGCAGCCCCTCCGTGCCCTCCATGCCCTGGGGGCGGTGGGGGTGATCCCCCCTGTGGGGCAGGGGGGCCGGATGCCTGCTCTCACCCTGCCCTCTGCACAGGATACCGCTGTGGCAGCGGCAGGAAAATCGGCAGCAACTTTCCTGGAAACTGTCTTTCGTGTGGATCAAAGGAACAGGGAAGAGCTGGGAATCAGTGGCAGCCATTCATCCCTCCCATCCCCCCCTTTCCCCCCTCCCCAAGTGGCTCAGCCCCAGGACCCCCAGAGCCCAGTGTTGGTAAACTGCACAGTGCCCCCTAAGCACTGAGCTGGCCAAATTACCGGGGCGCACTGAGCAGCGGGGGTTTGAACTTCATGGAGCACCATTCCTGTTTAATCAGTAGGTGAATAAAATTAATGATTAATGAGCAGCTCTGGCTGGCCTCAGGGCAAGGGCTGGTCACCATCATTTGGCCCCAGCAAGCAGGCAGCACCCACAGCTGCTCAGTGTGTTGTGGGGAGGGGACAACACACACAAGGGGACGTGGGGAGGGTCGTTGGTGCTGTGCCAACTCTGTGCTCTTGAGTTCAGAGGGGGTGAGCTAGTTTTAGTGCTGGTGGGACTGGGAGCAATGGGCAGCCCTGGTTCCTGCTGCTGTAAGGCTGATGCCATCCTGTGTGTGTGGTGTCCATGCTGGCAAAGAGGGGCTGGACAGGAGGGTGCTATGGAGCTTCAGCTCTTCCTGCAAAAAGGAGTGGACAGCACAGAGTGAGACCCTGCAGGGATGCAGCGACAAAGGGGTGTGATGGGACAACAT